CATCTGTTATAAAACGCCCTCTGCACGCAACTAAAATTAAAATGATCTTAAAAAGATAATACTTGTAAAGTTTACTTAAGTCTTTTCAGCCACAGAAACTGCAATGGAAATAAATGTTCAGAGTCATTTTCAAAACAAAACCAAAAATCTATTCTTCTGATGACATGCATGATTAAAAGGTCTATGCAAGATACATTGCTCTACATTCCCAATGACTAGGAAAAAAAAGCTCAAGTCAGTGTTTAGTTTGCAGATGGTCAAGGATTTTGTATTCCAGCAGGAGTTCAAATCTTCTGGATCTTTTCACCAACAACTACTGGATTTTCTTTTCTGATTTTCTCAGCAGCATCAGCTTTGTAATTGTAAGAGCAATTGTGTACATCTGAGTAACGGTGCACACCACAGTAAACATTTCCACACCGGCATTCAAACCCAGTAAGCCCCACTTTCTTCCTGCACATGAAACAGCGATTCTTTTTTTGTTTTGGTTTTTCAAGGGACTTGTTTTGTTCTTCAGATGGCTGTTGTGCCGTATCTGGTACTGAAGATGGAGGATCACATTCAAGAGGTACAAGGCCCTCTGCTCTGGGTCCTTGTAGATCTTCTGTTTCAGTTATTACTTTCTCCAGAGATGTACTATCCACTTGGGAAGATGCTACAGATTCTGATAAAAGTGACTGATTTGATACAGGGCTTGGCTGCACAGATGAAGATGTAGTAAAGTCTAATGATGACTGAGCTTCTGGGACACTGCCATCTGTGCACTGAACGGGTAAAGACTCAGACATTTGACTCTGTGGATCATATCTTCCTTTTGGAAATTGTCTTTTAACTCATGGTTTGTTGTAGTATTCTGTTCATTGTATCCTTTTGTTAATGAAATTTAATTATTTGCTCATTTGATACATTTCCCCCCCTTATCTGTAATATGCCAGACATTCAGGTAGGTATTGAAGATATAGATATAGCATGTCCCAGCATCTACTCTTAGGAACTCAAAATCAAGTGGCAAAACAAATCAAAGTCTATGGTTTGTCTATGGCCTGACATAATAGTAAATTAACAGTTGTCTAGATCTCTTCATAACTGAACCTTGAATATTTCCCAGAAATTAAAAAAAATGTATGGGCCTGGGAGAAACTCAAAGATGTCTTATAACTTCAATAGCCAAGTCCATGATAGCTTCATATTCACTTCTTAGCAATTCCTCACTTCCCCAGAGAAGGAAGCACTTCTTCCCCTCCTCATTTCGGCAAAAGTCCAATGGTTTATGTATGTGTGTGCACTCATGCAGCAAGCACTGCAGACAAGGGGTCCAAATACTGCAACCAGCTGGGTATAGAGAAGATGCCCAGCCCTGGAGCTGGTGCTGATTAGGGTTATTTCTGATTCAGATTGCAAAAGATGCTCCCCAAAGGAACACTGCAGAAAGAGGGATGGTTGTTGGATAGGCAAAACAATCATAGAAATCCTTCTTATCTCTAACAAGTGATTTAATAACAAACAGAGTTGAATGACCTAAGGCAATGGTCCTATAGTTGAACAGCATTGGGTCATCTCAGTTTATATCATCAAACAGTTCACTGCTGCTTAAACCCTATGCACCCTAATCCTATTGCTTATTTGCCATGCTTGGTGGTTTCTGTAGTTTTTCTGCCCTTCAGGAGGAGCCTGCTGATCTCTTGCTCTTTTTCTTTCAATCAAAGCTTGAGATTATATCAGGAGGGTGCTTGTCTAAATGAGCATCTAAATGTCAAAATGGACAGGGCGGTAGGATGTACAACATTTTAGGTAACTTTACATTGCTAACTCTTTTCAAGAGTCTATCAGTATTTAGTTACAATTTAAGTGCAAAGGTGGCACCCTAGACGTTCTCTGGGAATAAAGTATGTCCCCTGTGTCTGCCAAGTGGGGTAAAGTGTGGAGATTCAGGACCTTAGTGAGATTAAGCTGCCCTTTCCAGTTCTGGCTCGATTCTAAATAAGATTCAGGCATCTAAGTTCCCCAGTAACTTGACCCCCAGTCTTGGAAATGACACTTCTCTCCATGAGCCATCACCACAATTAGCGTGAAGTG